AGGCACCACCAACTGAACCATCCTCTATTCCTGCCCTGCTGTAGAATTAGTGACTATTTTTGTTGCATTTGATGGCAAACATATCCATGTGGGTTACTGCACTTCTCAGTTAGGAAGCAGGATACGTGCTGTGGCTCTCATCCATGCTTGTGGTATAAAAGCAACACGGGGACTCTGTGAATGTTTTCTCTGACCCCACAAGGTGAATGGCTACTGGATGGATATATTGATGGGAGCACCAACTCCATAGACATTGAGTTAGCTGAATTAGAACAGAGGATTTCCACCTTTTGGTATATTTATATTGTGTTCACATTTTAAGAGGAACATTTGGTTTTCTTCAAACTGATGCAACTTGGACTATGACAACTCAGTGTCTACTGACATCCAGACTCAACTGGATATGTTTTCAGAGCAAGCATTGCTGGTTACTTGCTAACTAATTTGACTCAATGCTGCTGGCCTACAGCAAATATTCATTGCAGAAAACCAGCATTTAGATAAGCTCTTCATTATCATAAACAATCTCCTCAGGACCTCATCCCTTCTCTAGCAACTGTGATCATCTAATACAATGGTTCTCACTCTGGGTGTTCTGTAATCCTTGCCTGTGGTTTATGTTGTTTGGGTCATCTTGGAATTGAACTCCAAAACATATGCTGGATCAAAGGTTAATAATAATCATTCTAACAGAACCACAAACCTCAGCCATGCTGCCATTTTCTTTTTTAAAGAAAAAAGAGAGAAAAGGCTTTCTCCTGTCAACCCTTTCAAACAAAACATACTTGTTCTGTCTTTTTCTAATTGTTTTGTCATGAACGTTAACATTTAACATTCTTTCTGAGGTCTGTAGGGTCTGAGATGTAACTCTTGGTTGTTTTTTGTGTATTTTTTGGTTTTTCCCCTTTTTTCGCAATTTCTCTTAGCATTGCACTGTCTAACTTTGGGTGAATGTGATTGGACACCCACTTCTGGGAAGATTGGCAACTGTCTTGAATGTTTTCCACTTGTGAATAATCTTCCTCACTGTAGAATGATGGACTTTCAATTGTTTGGAAATGCCCTTCTAACTCTTCCCAGATTGATGGGCAGCAACAATGGCTTCTCTATGATCCCTGCTGATGTGTTTCCTCCTTGGCACAGTGTTAACACACACACTGAAATGCTCCAGACCAGCGAACTGCTAAAACTTTGGCTTTTATAGAGGCGGTCACACTTACTGATGGTCAGTTACTGAAGGGCATTTGGTTAGCAGCTCCTGGCTACTCTTTAGCCTCTTAATTCCTGTCGAAGCAGTAAAGGTTTACTTAATTTTTCACACATGGCATCTCTATGTTGGCTTTATTTTTGTAAAATATATCATGACATGGTAATATGTCATGTGTTGTTCATCTGAGGTTGCATTTACCTAATTTTCAGGTCTGCTAAGGAACATATGATTTTATTATGCCCTGGTATGTAAAACCAGAGAATCCAAAGATGTACTTCCTTTTTCTCATAACTGTATGCTGTAGAGCAGTGGTCCCCAACCTTAGGCCTCCAGATGTTCTTGGACTTCAACTCCCAGAACTCCTGGCCAGCAGAGATGGTGGTGAAGGCTTCTGGGAGTTGAAGTCCAAGAACATCTGGAGGCCCAAGGTTGGGGATCACTGGTGTAGAGTCTGTGTGAAGGTTTCCCTCTGGAATTTTGGAAGTATAAGGCATTTCAAATGCCAGTTTTTCAGGAACCTGTACAGCTTGGCTCTTTATTAGAAACCAAGAACAGTAAGTTACTTACCCTTGTTTTTCTTGTCAACATGATAACCAATTGTCTTCATTTATCAGCACAATAACATTTTAAAATCCCAGTGACATAAACGGGAGCTTATACCTGTAGATGCATTATGATTATGAAATATTTCTTGCCTGCCTGCAGGGTTAGACTGAAAAGGCCTGCTTTGAGGTACTGGATCCTGCTATTTCAAATTGTTTCTTTCTTCCTACATCAGGTTATATAAAATGCTCCCTGAGTGGTAATATTATTTACTGTCAGCTTTCAGCTGCGTATTTTTTCCCTCCACAGTGAAATCTCTTGAAGGAAGAAGCCACTGATCCCTGTGCACTTTTTGGTTCTTCTGGGTGTTTTCTTTGCTGGCTCATGAGTGTGTCAGGCATTTCTTGGAATCCACACGTGAGTGAAGCACTTCCCCTTCAAACTGTGCTGCCACCATTGTTCTGCATCCAGTACCCCATAGGGACTCAGCCAGCATAAGATTTATTATTTTTAAAAAACTTCTTAGTTAATTATTGTCATACCCCACCTTTACTGCTGTGAGATCGAGACAATGAAAAATTTTCTCTCTACCTTATATCCTCACCACAAGTCCATAATAACTTAACATTCCTCCAGACTTATTACTACATTCCCTGAAATACAAAGTCTGATTAGTGTATAGCCTTCACAGTGGCTTGCTTTAATTTTGACAAGGCAGAGGCCAAATTTTCCCCTTAAACCATATAAGGTACGGAATATGTGCTGCATTAAACTGCAGTTACACTGCAGGGAAAAAGCAAATGGATCTGCTGTGAACCCAGGAACTTGTGCTTGCTGGGGTTAATTCACTTCTGCCAACCACACAGGAGTCAGCAGAGACAGAAAGAATCAGTCTTGTTTGCAGCTTCTTAACCATTTGAATCCTCTTCACACCAGTTGCCTTGGTCTGATTGTTTACCCCTCCCCTCCCCTGTTTCTGCCTTCCACTTGCTGTCCTAGTGATAGCCTAGCTAGGTGACCAAAGAGACAGTGAAAAGGCATGGAGTCATCAGGGAGACAGGAGAACATTTTTACTTTAGCCTTATTCTAGCTTCATAAGGTAGCTCTGCTCTGCCTGCCCAAATTTGCTGGAAGCAGAGTAGAATTGACTTAAAATTTCCTCTCCCCATTTCTTTTCTTTGGTCAGCCAGTTGCTCCAATGTTGGGTTGACAATCCTTCAAGGGGGAGGGGAGAAGTGGGGAAGGAAGTAACTGAATAGGAAGAGAGAGGAAAGCAGACCCAGACACCAGCTGTGGGGAGGAGAAGATTCAAACAGCCCTGCCTCTCTCACTGTTGCTGGAGCTGGCTGGACTGCCTTTAAATATAACAGCTACACCTCCCTCCATATTGGCTCAATCACACTGCCTGAAGGGAATAAAAAGGCCAAAGCCCCAGCAGCAGAATTAAAAACTAGATTTCTGGGGGAGTATTCTGGGATGATTGACATTTATGTCATGTAGTCAATGAAAAATAGTGTCTCATCCTGGTGCATTTCCTGCATTGTTACTGTAGTCACACCCTTAGTGAGGAGGAATTACCACAGTATTTTTGGTTTATTTGCCTGTTCATTTGCCAAATAATTCACCAGATAAAATCCCACTGCATTTTAATTACATTTGCCAATTGAAAATCAATAGGATATGTTGAGGTCGCTTCCAAGAGATTACCAATTAAATCAACAATCAAATGATGTCACCAGAATTGGTAACTCATTGTGAATTGTGAACAGTGTGAGCAGCAACATAACCACAGTTGAGCTAAGGAACTTTCACCTATATTGCTTTGTTCCTATTCGTTTTTCAGATGGAATTTCTTGCTATTCCAGGATTCAGTTAAAGAAATAAATGTCTCCAGCTCACATATTTTTTAATCTTAAAATCGGAGGCCATAGGAGGACATTTTACCCATAATGGAAAATTTACCCAGCCTACAGAATTCTGGGTAAGCAAATCACAAATGTAATCCTTTCTTCAGATGGAGATTTGCAAATTAGTAGAGCTGGATAAATTACTATAAGAATCACAGTATCCATGGCAGACAGAAAACAGTCTTGTCCTGAAATATTGTTAACCAAACCAGTTATCCTCAAAGATCTCACTAACCAGAAATTATCTTCATACTTACACCACAATAATGTCTGGTGGAGGTAAATTGGTGTTTCCCACGGCAGATACAAAAGTATGAATGACAGGTATACATTATTAATTTTTCACACATTTCTGTATCCTGGTTGGGAAGCTCAGTGAGTTGGTACCTGGCTGTGGAGCCAGAGGTTGGCAATTGAATTCCCCACTGTGCCTCTCAGGAAAAGAGCCAATCTGTGTAGCCTTGGCAAGCTGTATCATCCCAGAATGTGCCAAGAGCCAATCTGTGTAGCCTTGGGCAAGCTGTATCATCCCAGAATGTGCCACTGGTAAACTACTTTTGATTACTGTATACCTAAACCTGTCATCATTAATTAGAATCAATCTAATGGCATATAATCACCATCATTATTGTTGTCATTAGAAAATACAAGATACATTCTTTGACTGGTATTACATGACAGATACAAGTTTTAACCAACATTCTATGTATCAGTTAAATATTAATTAAAGATGATGATGATGATGATGATGATGATGATGATGATGATGATGATGATAGTGACGATGTGCCCTGAAGCTGTGATATAGTTGCGAATCCTCTAGTTCATGCATACTGCTTATGTGCGTTTGTCATTTAAACTCTATATTATTGCTGTGAGAAATACTGCTGTCATTCAAATATCTATGGCAAATAATTGTAAAATGGCCGATGCTATCTGGGAAAAGGTTTCTTAAGAAAGTCAGAATTCAGATACTTACTCTCTCTGGTTTGAAAGAGTCATAATGAACGCTAGTCAGGCTGACACACCCCATCCTCATAAGAAATCTCAGAAATGTTTGTCTTAACCAGTTAAGTAGATATAAAATTGTAATATAATAGTTTAATTAACAGTAACAATTGGCCAACTCTAAGCTGAGAGATGAACTAATCTCTTTAAAATAAGTTATTCATAAGTCACCCTGACTGTGAGAATCTACGAGCTCACCACTTTGCTAAACTGACAGCTTCACAAATATACCCTATAGGCTTCTGGGCTTATCTGCTCATTGGCTCTTAATTTCTGTATTTAGTAGCCCCATAGGAAACACTATTCTGGATTTTGAAGCTTCACAACAGGAATTTGGCAGTGTGCATCATATTTTCTTTATTGCTTTTCTTTAGTGTTTAAAAGCATGTATATCAGTTATTGCCTGTCCAAATACAATACTGCTGGGCATTCTAAAGAACAAATAAAATGAACTATCTAAGAAACTGAAATAAAGCTACCATTTAAAAATAAACATGTGAAGAGTTAAAAGCTGACTTCCAAAATAAACACACAAGAAGTTATTAGACAGTCATTACCAATGTTTAAGAGTACAAAACCTGGTAACAAATGTATGAAGACCATGTTTTCAAGGAATTAATTTAAGGGATTTAGAAAGCAAAGAATAGTTTGCCTTCTTCATATTGCGCTAAATATGTGCGCTATAACTTACAGCTCTTTTACAACAATTCATTTGTAATTGTTTTCCCTAAAGAATCCTGTGAATTTAGCTTGGCAAGACTGCTCAAATACTTTATCATGCTGTTTGGTCTACTGCAGGGATGGGTTTGTTTGCTCTTTTTTTCTGCTGATCACATAACATAATTACTGGATTAAACTAAACCATCCCCAGAGCAGTCTTACCCACACCTTTCTGAGCCCCTGGGCTTCTGCTTTCTTTGGTGAGGGGATGGTCACTCTGTTTTGATCCATTTCCAGCATGTGTGATTGTTGGTAATAGACCAAAAGTGAGCCACTTAAGGACATCAACTGATTGTACATTTCATCTGCTTCTTGGTGGAGGTGCAGAGAAAGTGAATTTTTAAAAAAGATTTTGATGTACCATAATTGATATGCAGTGTCACTTGTTTTCTCTTAGACTGGTCAATAAATAGCAGTTTCATGGATTTGGCTGCAGTCAGCTTTACATCCAGCCCTTCAAACAAAGCAAAGAAAACATTACTTTTTTTAGAGTGATGCAATGCCTCAACTATAGTCTACCAGAATCTTTTTTTAAAAAATTCTCACTTATTAAGCCACACCATATAGGGTTGCCTGAGCTCTGATATACCACTGGGATGCAAGGGTCACACCAAATGGTATATCACACCTCCACCTGACCCCAAGCAACCCTCTTTAACCTGCACTAGCGTGCTCCACAAGAGCCCATGTAGATGAGCCCTTTCTTGGTTTTCCCCCTCTCGAAACCCATTCTAAGACTTAAGCACACACAAAACATTAAAGATCCCCGTGTATAGTTTGGCATCTCTATTCCAAGTAATATAATCATAATTATCAACCACCAATAAGAGAAAAAATACTAACATATCAATTGTTTATGAATTGTAACATGACTAGATTAGGTAAAAGCTATACATTTCAAGTTAGCAAATTTGAAAACTTGCATTGCCAACTCATCCTTTTATATTGTTAATAATAAGATGCACACTATTGAACACTATTAGTGTTTGGAACTGTGCCTCTATCCTATTACTTTCACCAATGGGAAGGAAAAGATATTTTAAAGGCATATGCCAATCCCAAAAGATTTGTTTGAGGATACCTATATCCTTAATTCAAATATTAGCTGCTTGTGTAAACCCACTGGGACTTACTTCTAAGTAAGACATTTATAGGATAGTGACATAAGTTTATCGGTAATTCAACGAACTCTTACAATTTTTTATAACTTCAGGAGATAATGTTTGAAAAACAAAATTTCTTCAGAGTAGGCTGGTTGTCCAATTAAATATTAAATTTAAAACAAACCATCATTAGGTTCCCACTTGGAAACCAAACAATTAAAACATACAGTGATTCAAAATAAATAAAACAATATTTTAAGGCATGATCCACTATAATGACATGAGCTTCAGACTTTGTTAATATGCAAATTATTAAGTAGGAAGAAAAGAATATTTATTTTCAGGGCATTAAACCATGCAATTATTGTTGTATATTAAAAACAAAAAGCACATTTCTAATAGCAGTAATAACTTCAAAAACTGCATCGTTTTTGATATGTCAATGTTTTCAGGCAATGAAAAGTTCTAAAAAACTGAGTGGGAATAAGTGGAGCCTGCTTCAGCAAAGAACAATTCAAAAGAAATGTCACAAACAACAAATTCCAGTCACTGACGAATATACTGTAGCTCCTTAAATAAGGAAAATAAATCAGTTCAGGTTTTGGTGCTGTAATTCCCCAGCACCCTTGGAACGGGTGATGATTAAGGAGGAGTTTCCTGAATGCTTAAGATGTAAGCAATAAGAAGCCCTTGTGCAGAAGCATTTACTATAGAGTCTTAAACTGCAGATGTTTACAGCATACTGGCAACATTTCAGTCAAAACCAAAAAAAGGCAGCATAAAGGTTTTTCTGCTTCTTATATTGCATATATGTAAGAATTGTCTATGTTTTCTATATAAACAAATAACAGGGTCCTCTACTAGTAATGTGCTTCTCCTTTGTGCAAAGACTTTGCTTCTTTCAGCTGAAGTTAAGGCATGAACAATGTGAAAGATTCTAAAAGGGAACTTTAGAAAATTTCTTCTGTTTTCTCCTCTGCAGACATTTCCTCCACTATGTCTGCAGCTGTCAGTTAGCACCATCCATATGCTTCTGCCTGGTAAGCAGAGGCTTGCCACTGGGCTCTGCCGACGGCACGCTCAACTCCTCTACTCTCTCCAACAATGCTTTCCTCTCCAGCTCTAGACTGAGGATCATCTGCTTCAGCTTGCTTTCACTGTTGAGCAAACTTTCAACCATGGCCTCTAGGTTTTGGATCTTCCCATTTGCCACCTTAAAGAATAAAACAGGAAACGTATACACATTGTGTGAAGACAGTAGGAAGAACATACAGCTGTTTGTTCAGCAGGCTTGCAACCATCCTGTGTGAAACTAGACATGCTTCAAACTGGAATTTACCTATCAAATGCAGAAGTACAACTGGCACGCAAATCAGTCATTTCTGAAATCCCATTATGCCATATAGTAACTTGCCAAGGAAAATTTAATGCTTCTACAGCAATATAAAAGAAGTTTGTTTTTTCAGTGGCTCTTTGGGATCTACAGTACAGATTTGGGCTGAAATCTGGATGAGTGGGGCTCTATCCCCAGACACAGACAATTTCGAATGTGTGTGTTAAATTCCCACAAATGCCACTCAGCAGGAAGACACCGACAGGAATATAGATTTGCTACTTAGTAATAAATTCATTTTTGTCTATGATATATTTTCTTCTTCCCTGCCAAATCTTGATTATTTAAGCTCTGGAAAAGTGGAGCCTGTATAACATAATAGAGAGCAGAAAAAACATTAAAGATAATAAATCTGAGCCAGAATGACTAATAGATGTTTAAATTTATTAACCAAGGCCTTTTAATTAAGTATAGTGTTCTTACTGCAGGGCTACATTTAGTACAACTCTTATTGATAGTGAGGTAAAGAAATGCAAATAACAACTCAGATGAAATAGAATGATGTCTGCCAAGGACTGAGAAATTATCTTTTCTCCTCCTTGTACCTAGCACGTTTCGAGCTAGCAATATTAACCTGCATGTTCTGCACATTTTTTTCCTGTTTTGAGTGTTGGTCACAATGGCAGAGAATTCCAAAAATGGGAAGCAACTGACACTATTCTTTTGTGTATGCTTTGGTGAGCACTGTTTCCACTGTTTCAAGCATCTCTATTGATGCTATAATTTATGAAACTGTTATGTTATCAACTAAGCAGGTCATAACTGTAATCCCTTCAGCTCATCTTTCTTTTTACCTTGAAATTGTTCAATATACATATAGTACACCAGTCTAGTATTTATATGCATAGTACATGGCTTCTGCAGGAGAAATTGCAGTAGGAGGAAGTCTCTTATTAAATATTATATGAAGATTTTCATTTTTAGAATGATAATAAAATTATATGTCTATTTCCTACCATTTACCAATGATGTTTATGGAATCAGTTGTGGAAATGTTATTTTAAATATAAATAATGCATGTGTAAGTATGTAAGATACTAACCACTGCTTGTTAATTATATTTAACACGTACAGTGGTGCCCCGCATAACGACGATAATCCGTTCCGGATAAATTGTCGCTATCTGGATTCGTCGCTATCCAGGGCAAAAAAAAACATAGGAACGCATTAAACCCTGTTTAATGCATTCCTATGGGGGGAAACTCACTGTTATGCGAAGATCCTCCATAGGGGCGGCCATTTTCGGTGCCTCTAAAGCGAGGCAACACAGCGGGCGCCCATTTTGGAACCGCCAATCAGCTGTGTGAAAATGGGGCCTTTGGGAGGACCGCGGGGAAGGGAAACCTCCCCCACGGTCCTTCCGAAGCCACCGCCGGCATTTTCACCCAGCTGAGCGGCAGTGGCTTCGGAAGCTCCCGCCGCTCAGCTGGGTGGAAATGCCGGCTAGGGCTTTGAGAGGTCTGTCCCAAGCCCCCGCTGGTCAGCTGGGGGAAAATGGGGCTATGGGGAAAAAATCGCAAAGCAAAAGCGATCGCAAAAAAGCCATCGCTATGCGGATTCGTCGTTAAACGGGGCGCCTATTAAGCGAGGCACCACTGTACTATAAAATGTAAAATACAATACCTGCAGTTCCTCAAGGAGACCAAAGTTTTGTTTACGTAAACTACTGTTGGCTTTTTCTAATTTATCCATCCTCTGATTGTCACTGAGAGAAGAATCTATCAATTCATCCTGAAGTACGTGGTATTCAACTTCATAAGCTTGCAGCTGTTTAGAGATATCCATCTCAAATACCTGGCACATACAAAAATAGAAAAGTCTTGTTACAGGAAAAACAAAAAAACATGAAACCCAGAAAACCTGACATGGACAGTTATCCATATCTATCAGATTCTTATTTTTCCTTTACATTGAATCTTTATTGGTCTTTATTCAATAGTAGTGTGACCATTCTAGCTAAAATTCTTACTAACCAATTTTCTTATGTAATTTTTTGTGTGTGATTGAATGTTTCAATTTCTATGACTCACTCATTATAATAACCATGTTCTTATTACTGACTATGGCCTGTAATCCAGCTGGTACTTCCAAGTGGAGTAGACCTACTGAATAAATGGGTCTTACATAAGTGTTGATTGACCATTCAGCAGTTTATTCAATGGGTCTACTCTTGTTGGAGTTACACCAATGTTATAAGCCTATTGAGATACCAACAGGACATTAAAATATATCCGCCCAGCTAACACAGCAACTTTAAAAGTTACCAGGGGATTTTCAAAATTAGAGAGGAAGTCTAGGCATCCAGAAGCTATGATCCTAAAAGTTTTTGGTTCTGAAGAATGCTATGAAAAAGAGCATTTAGAATTTTATTTCCTGTCAGAGAGATAACCAGCTGGGTGTTACACAGTAAAACCAGACATGGTGCTCTCATAATGACCTTCCACCTTGCTAAGAATGCATAGATTACAGGGCTGTTGTCATGCATTTAAAATTACTAGTTTACCACATGCTATGTGATAATAAAGGAAGCTTAAACAGACTGGGGAGTTTATAAAACTCCAGATGTTGTTGGATGACAACTCCTATCACCTTGACCATTGGACATGCTATCTGGGGGTTGTGGAAACTGGAATCTAATTAGAGCTTTTGTATCCCTGCTGTACGCAGGTCAGAAAAGGGGGTTGGGAGAATGGAGCATCAGGCTTGCAGAAAGCCTGACATTTGAGAATCTGGGCAGAGATGAAGTAAAAAGTGAAAGGGTTTGAAGTGAGTTGAACACAGCATATAGTAGACTGAAGGCCTCAGGAAAGCTGTATGGAAACAAAAAAAAGTTTTAAAGAAAGGTGGTGGTACTTTCAAATAATGAATTGATATGGAGGGGAAGTGGATTCCAAATGTTGATTTGAACAAGTGAAATAGTAATCTAATTACAGGTACTACTAATAATGTGCCAATAATTTCTTTCTCTTTCTTAGCGATTTTGCTACAAAGCTGAGTGGACTGTAAGTCCCATTTGTTTATGGAGGTATGGCATTTCTCACTTTCAGGAAGTACTGCTTTATATTCTTTGGACAGAAGTCTCACAATCAGTGTTGTTTCCTGCCCACAGGATATATTACTACTGCACAAGCATCCAAAGCATTTCCACTGTTCAAACAAACAAAACTTACTAGGAAAACACAGTAGGAAATCTAGCTATAATATCACACAAAGGTTCCATTAACACAGATCTGGACATCCCAAAATACTTTGGTTCTGTGTAACAAAGGTAATTATTACATCTAAAATAGCTCATAGTTTCACATCTCCCTTGACAGTATTCATCTTCGTACCTGGTTAATAGTCTTTTCCATCTGTACCAAGCCTAGGTTTGGGAGAATACATTTAATGAAATCAACTATAGTTTCCAAGCTTTCATGCTGCAGAATCAAAGGTTTGTGGCTTCCAAGCAAGCTTAAAGCTACTTTAAATATAACTTCTGACCCCTGAAGAAGTAGCATGTCTGAAAATCAGAGAGGAAAAATAGGAAAAAGAATATTAGATAAATTCACAGTATGTATTGTAATGTTTTATTAGAATCACATAATTTGTTCTCCTGATACATTGGCCACAATGTACCTCTTTCTGTGTCACTGTAGCCTGTTCAACAGAATGTACCGTTTTGGTCAGGGAGACAGCAGTTCAAACCTCTATCCAGTCATAATACTGATGGGGTAACCAAGCTACATTCTCTCTAGGTTAATTATGTCACAGGTTTGGTGGTGCCAGCACCCCTCTAAACAACCCTTGAAAAATGGATTATACAATATTGCTACATGAATGTGATTTGTTGCATTAGTTCAAATAAAAATATTCTTCTCCTCAAGAAAACCATATTTCAGTGAAATCAGCAAATTATCTGATGCTGTTTATAAATGCTACCAAATGTATAGTTTTGTTATTGTTTTGTACAATAGACCCAAAAAATTTATTGCAGAGCCCATTATATTCTTTGGCTTTGTTACTCCCTGGAAATCATCTTCCAGAAGACAAAGCAATCTTGCTGTGTGAGTAACTGTGCAAGAATGGTTGCAAAGCACTGCTCTCCAGTGTAGCAGGGTTTTTATTTTTGTCATGCTTTATCTCTACTTGTTGCCTTTCTTATTCCTGTAAACCCCTTTGCTTGTCTGTATTTTATTACATATTGACAGTTTCTTTTAAATACATGCATTTGTAAAGGAAAGTTATATGTGCTTTCCTTTAAGGAACAAACAAAATAGAAAAATGTGTGTGTAGCATTCACCCCTTGTTATGCAAAATAAGTAATGTATTATTCATGTACTATGCTAATACAGTGGTGCCTCGCTTAACAAGCGCACCGTATAACGACGAATTCGCATAGCGATCCATTTTTTGGGATCGCTAATGCGAAGGCATATCGACGGTTCCAATGGGCAAAAATCACTTAGCGACGATCGGTAAGCGTTTCGCTTGCTGATCTTCGCATAGCGTTTTTTTTAACTCAGCTGATCGGCGGTTCCAAAATGGCTGCCGGAAGACCCAAAATGGCCGCGCGTAGCGTTTTTGCGCCCTGCCCTCGCTTACCGAGGGCGCGAAAATGGCTGCCGCTATGGGGAAACATTGCAGCACGGTGAGTTTTGGGCCCATTTGGGCTTTTCCGTTCCGTATAGCGATGTTTCCCCATAGTGAAGGTTAATCCGGAACAGATTAACCTCGCTATGCGGGGCACCACTGCATGTTTCAGAGGTGGGGCTGAAGAGATGTTAAAAGGCAGAGCCTGAATCAGAGAAGGTCAGAATCAAAGAGTCAGAGTCAGAGTGAGAGTTAAGTTAGTCAGAGGGAGAAGGAACAGATACAGAGTGGAAAGGATGATTTAGATAAAAAGAGAAGGTGGTAATTATATGGCAAGAGAAAAGTATGTACTGAGAGTACTGTTAATGATTTGCTTGTGTACAATAATTATCTGAAGAACTTCTGTTATTATTAAGTCTGAATTACTTCAATAAATAAGTTCTGTTTGTATTCACAAGACAAGTGTCCTGCCAAAGTCATTTATATTGTGGATTGAGGCAATCCACTGGTGGCAGCGAGAGGAAAACACAAGGTGAGCCTTTGCGAGGGCACAACACGTAGGTGCCACAAAGGGTGAACGCCACAGTGTGATCATTAAAAATAACCCTACATTAGAAGTATATAGAAATACATATGGGTGAATATCCCAATAACATTTGTTGTAGTTGTTGTTTAGTCATTTAGTTGTTTCTGACTCTTCGTGACCCCATGGACCAGAGCACGCCAGGCCCTCCTAACTTCCACTGCCTCTTGGAGTTTGGTCAGATTCATGTTGGTAGCTTCAATGACACTGTCCAACCATCTCATCCTCGGTCGTCCCCTTCTCCTCTTGCCTTCACACTTTCCCAACATCAGGGTCTTTTCCACAGAATCTTCTCTTTTCATGAGATGGCCAAAGTATTGGAGCCTCAGCTTCAGCATCTGTCCTTCCAGTGAGCACTCAGGGTTGATTTCCTTTAGAACTGATAGGTTTGTTCTCCTTGCAGTCCTGGGGACTCTCAAGAGCTTCCTCCAGCATCACAATTCAAAAGCATCAATTCATTGGTGGTCAGCTTTCTTTATGGTCCAGTTCTCACTTCCATACATCACTAGAGGAAAAACCATAGCTTTGATTATGCAGACCTTTGTTGGCAAGGTGATATCTCTGCTTTTTAAGATGCTGTCTAGGTTTGTCATTGCTTTCCTCCCTGAAAGCAGGTGTCTTTTAATTTCATAGCTGCTGTCCACATCGGCAGTGATCATGGAGTCTAAGAAAGTAAAATTTGTCACTGCCTCCATATCTTCTCCTTCTATTTGCCAGGAGGTGATGGGCCCAGTGGCCATGATGTTAGTTTTTTTGA